ATCAAGATTAAAGATGTAGGGGACTATCCAGGTAAGTTCCATAAGAAGTAATAAATATATCTTTGTGGTTTGGAAAGAAGATTGAGAAAATGTCTTTTGATAGTAGAAATCATTGGAGTTAACAAAATAATCTAAAAAAGCATATATAAACAAAAAGAAAAGGGATTCAGGGACAAAACTTTGGAAGCCACATTTAGGAGACCATCAAAAATAGAGAATAATTGTCAAAATATCAGTCAACTCTAATATGTGTTTAGGGGAAGTTCAGCAAGATAAAGAATTAAAATAGGCCGTTGGGTTCACTTGTAGGAAAACATTTCTAATATTGGCAAAAAGATTTTCTGTTAATTCTTGTATAGGGAAGAGTGTATAAGAGTTAATAAAGTGGAGACTATGAGTCTAGGCTTCTTTTCAAGAAGTTTGGTGAAGAATAGAATAAAGCAGATTAGAAAGTAGATTGAAGGAAAAAAGAAACAAGATAAGGGAGGCTATTTTTTAAGATGAAAGAGATTTGAGAATATTTGTATTTACTAACCAAACTATATGAAATGGCTGAAATTTTTGATAATTTTTGACTCATTAAAATGGCAAAGTCATATGGCTCAATATATAAGAAGAAACAAAATCAACAACAAAGGAGAAGATGTAGATGCAGGAAACAGGACAGTTGTCAAGAATGCTAACAGTCTATTAACCCTTCCACTCCCCTTGAAGATTCTGTTACATATGCTTGTCTCTCTCACAATGCCAAACCATCCTTCTCATCTTCACTCTTAGCCAATGGTCTTGTTTCCTTCTTCAGTGATTCAACTGAACATTCCTAAGAGACTTTCCCTAAACTTTGACCACCAAATGAACTCACCTCTGACCATCTATGTCTGTATATTCTGTCCCTCCCTCATATTAATGAAGACAGGGTCTCCATGAGCTAATGAAGAGATCATCCCTCAATTCATGTGTCAGATGCCAACGCATTTTGTCAACTCAAAAAATGGCCGTATTTATTCTGGTTTGCTAACTGTCCTTTTCACACAACAACTTGTCAAATCTATAAGATATGTCAAATTTTACATGTCCAAAATTGAAATAGTCTAACTCAAACTTGTTCCACCTAATAGTCTATCTTAGTCAATGGCAAAACTCAATCTTATAAATTGCTCAGGAAATGAATCTGGAGTCATTCTTGACCCTTTCTTTTTCTGACAGCCAAAATTCAGTCTCTCATGAAATCTAGCTAACTCTACCTTTAACATACCCAGAATCTTACCATTCCTCATTGTTTTCATTCTTATGAACCGAGGTACCATAACTTACCATCTACATTATTTTTTACACACATTATTTTAATAGCCTCCTAACTCAGTAAAGCACTCAGAGAGGCTTTAAAAAAAAAAAAAAAAATTCAAACCATATCTCTCCGCTGACTAAAACCTTTTGGATTCCTCTCAGAATAAAAGTCAAATCCTATCTGATCCTAGACAAATTCTAGCTCCTAAAGCTCTCTGGGTAATCTGTCAACACATTTTCTCTCTGACCTCCTCTCCTAAGATTCTCCTCACTCTTTGCTAGCAACCCTTGCCTCCCAGGCATTCCTCACATATTTCAGGTGTGCTCCCATGCCCACTTATTAACTTTCAACTTTTTGCTCAAATGTTACCTTCTCAATCGGCCTCCATGAAAAATTGTATTTAAAATTACTACAGTCCAGCAGCATTTTGGGCCCCTTCACCGAACCATTTTGCTTTCTTTTATGTAACACTTTTCATCTTCTAACATACTACATAATTTGCTTATTTATTATATTTACTCTTTATATATGTCTTCCCCCACTAGACTATGAGCTCCATAGAGACGGGATATTGTCTCTTTTGTTTATAGATATTTCCCAATCTTATTGCATTTTGACACATCATAGGTGCTCAATGAATATTTATTGAATGAGTAAATATATGAGGAAAGGTGTGTTAAATGCAGTGTCCAACAGTGTCCAATCCATATTATGAATTGACATTAATCTGTTGAAAGGAATATCCCATATCTTATTCATGTTTTAACACTATCAAATTGGATATTACTTAAAACTCAGTGTGTAATCAGTCAATGTCAGTTTCTTAAGACAGGAGCTGTAATTTTTTAATACTAAATCTGAAGCCCAGGATATTATGCCTGGAAAGAAGTAAGATATTTATGAAATATTTCCTGAATAAATAAAATGCTAATTGGAATCAGATCTTGTTCTTGAGGTACAATAAATCCCAAAGTAGGTTGAATTTGAATACATAATATCAAGTAAGATTCTAATTTCTGTCCTCCTAGTCAGCACTGGAATTTGATGGTGATAAATTTCATTTCAATATAATGTTTTTAATTGACTCATATGGGTATGAGAACTACCAAACAATAGCAAAAATATCCAACACTTGGTGGTATCTATTTCATCAATGTCACTGCCAAAGACTCACAGAAAACTAAAAGTGAAGGGATACACACTGTTTTGAAAATTTATATTCTGGGCCAAATGAAGGAAAAATCTAAAACTTTCAGCTTTTTTTTAGAACTAGCTAGTTTAAGATTATCTAGCTCTTTTGTCAGTTTATACAATGAAAATTACACTATATTAGCAAGAAAATTTCCAGAAATTTCCTTTTTTTTGTTGGAGGGGTCATCTTTTTGCTAATAAATTACAAAGTTGGACACGTGTAAGTTCTGGGGGCAGAATGATTAGTAAAACCTTTATTTCTTTAAGAAAATATGCTATCGAATTTCATCAAAGGGGTTTCTAGAGTTTTCAGTCTTGATATTGCACACAGAAAACACTTAAAAGGTATCTTCAGGGAAGGATATTAATTTCATAGTTAATGTACATAGGTTCACACTCTCCTTCAAGTCTTTTACATTTGTCCCTTCAGCTGAGATCAGTGGCTGGTGGCTTGAATGTACACTTGACTACACAGGAAAGACCGTCTCAGAAATTTAGGTGGATTTGTTTTCTCTCTATCAAGCACTGAAGGATAGAGGGTATACCACAGCCTAGTTTATGTGCAGAGATGCTTCAAGAGTTTTCTAGAAAACCTTTCATCATCTTCAACTTCTTGGTGGCCCCTAACAAGCTCAAGTTTTATTTTCCCCATGTTGATAGTATTTTAGGCCTCTTAATTCTGCTTTATGAGTCTTAATGTAGTGATGGCTCAGTCTCTGGTTAGGTAAGATAAATACTAATCAAACTTTTATTTCAGGCATTTAATTTTACTAATCTCTTTCCTGACATGGCTAACATATTCATTATCCAAAAATTAGGTTTAATTATTTTTCCTAGGGCCATCATTGTAGCATCTCTAGCCAATATATAAAACTATATGAAAATTTTGAATAGATAATTATTCTCATAAGATGAGGAAAATATTATTGGCTACCTGAAAATGTTACTTTTTTATTGTTTTTAAATTTTTGTGAGAATGAGTGCTTACCTTTATAAATCAATAGTTCTTAGCCAGGTGTGATTTTTGTCCCCTCCCCCAAAGGGGATATTTGGCAATATGGTAGTTATTTTTGATTATCACAATTAGGGGAAGGAATGCTATTACCATCTAGTTGGTAGAAGCTAGGGATTCTATAAAGCATACAATGAAGAAGATGGCTTTCACAATAAAGAATTATATAAACCAAAATATCAATAGTGCCAAGGTTGAGAAACCCTTTATAAATGAATATTGTAAAAATACTTTATATTGCCAAGGAACACATTGAATAGTCAAAGACTATTTTAAGCTATTAAAATCTATGAAAAATAATATATTAAGGCTCCAATATGTGCTTAGTAAAGAATTGCTTCTTAATAGAACTCATGTTTATTAAAATAAACCACTAAAAATTCATCAGTCCCTTGTGATAGAAATATATATATAGAGAGAGAGAAATTTTATCTAAATAGGGAAAAATTATTCTCCATGCATGTCATTGTCATAGATAATGCTTAGTATGAAAATACTTAGATTTCATATCTGCATTTGGAAAAGAGGATGGGTTCACAGAGATGCCATAATAAAAATATCAAGACACTGGAGATCTTTGATTTATCATCTTTTTTCTGAGTCTAAGTCTGATCTACATGTACACATTCCATAAATTTCGTTTTTCTTTAGTTAATTGCCAAAAAACATTGTTTAATTTTATCGGTGGGGCTTCTGTTATGTTGTGGTATTGATAATGTTTCTTGAGAATTTTCAATTAATACAAATTGCTGAATTGGATTACTAAACTCATAGAAGAAACAGAATTAGCCTTTTTTTTAGTGGAAACTGTATGATACTGCTGTATTGTTGAAATGTTGTAGGGAAACATACTGTGGGTCCGCAGAGGCAGTGGGAAGGGAACTGAGGCAGAGTGAAGCAGAAAAGTGAAGGTTACTGCTCCTTCTTTTTGTTGTGTATTTCCTCCAACAGGGCCATCTCACAGGATTGGAGAGCTGAATTAAACTCTTAGCCATAGTTTCTGACTTCCTTGGTCTAAATTTTTCATTATGTATAGTCTCTTCTCCTTCCTGAAAAAATTTTCCCTTTTTATTCCCATTCCTATTTCTTGATACATATTTTCCTTTACTAAATAATAAATGGGAGTAGTTACTGAAGCTGATTATAATTTTCCTCTCTTCCACCAATCCTACATTCTGGTCATTCTCTCACTTCAGCTCTGTCTCTCTCTAGAAAGATCTGCACTCTCAATATCCAGTCTCCTAAGTCAAGTGGATTTATATTTTTTCATTGGGTAATCTGTAGAGCACATTTCTATGGAAAGCTTGCATCTCAGAAATATGTTTATTCAATTCTTTGAAGTGTTTCCCACAACATTACTTAGGTCAACTACCATGAGACACATAGAACTTTGGGGAGTTCTTGAGGACCTTCCATAAAATAAATTCTGCTACTTCTGGTACCAATTAATCAAGAGAAAAATGCAATGTCAAGGCACCAGATATGAATGTGAAATAGAACCACATCTGCATGGTTCATTATTACATTTTATTTAATTATTTGTGTATTATAGAGACACATAGGCCTTGAAGGACGTGCTGAGAAGACTTAGTAACAATGGTCCTCTCTTCTTGGAGCATATGTCTCTTTTCTTCTGTCATCCTTATGGCTGCAAGCAGCAGTGAGTTCCAGGTCTTATGCAGTAAGCAATCCTAACTTCATTTTGGTGACACTCATTTTTACATCGACCATTACCCTGTATGCATTCTCTCCTCAAATCCAAGCTACCATACTCAGGATATCTCTTTCTGGCTGTAAGAAGGAAAGAATGACTGAAATTAGCAATCTAGCTTTGACACGCCCATGTTTTAAAAGGAGAAAGTCCAAGAAGTAAACTATTATAGAGTGATAATCTTCACCTACTATGGAAATTTTAAGTGAATTTACTGTTCTTTGGTGCAAGGTGCATCCTAGAAGTCAGAAAGTGTCTTGGACCAAAGTTAGGTGTTTGAATTTGCAGCCTTACAGGTGCCTGGACAGTGGCCCAAGGATGGTTCCCAAAGTCAATGGTAAAAACTTGGTCATAATTTATCCTCTGTCAGCCTCTGTCTCTACAATCATCTAATTGCATTTGGGCTGCTCATTGCAAGCTAAGCAATGTTAGGCAATTTCTCTGAACTTCCACGATTCCCCTGGATATTTTTTGGGATTTACTTTCCCAAAGAAATTTAACTCAGGTACATGTCTAAGGACAGTATTGATAAAAAAAAATATGGGAGTGACTAGGAGGTATAGCCATTGTTGGCCATTACATAATTTATAAAATTACCTTTCACAATTAAGTTTCTGAAATAATAGTAACTTAAAAAGAATTTCTCCTAATCATTGAGGTGTCAATCCTCTTGATTAGGAATCAACAAACTGGTCAGGGGCTAAATCCAGCCTGCCATCTGCTTTGTAAATAATTTTATTAACACATAGCCACACATTTATTAACACATTATCTACAACTGATTTTGCATTAAAATTACATCATTGACATTATAAGGTTCATAAAACCTAAAATGTTTATTATCTTGCTTATTTCTAGAAAAAGTTTGTAACTCCTGCTGCTGATTCTTTTTCTCATCAATCATGACAGAATGAGGGAAGGATTTGTAGCTGAGGCCACAAGAACATTCTGACAATATTGGAAAGGCTGGCACGTAGAAGACATTTGTCTTTTGCATGTTCAGAAGAGCAAAACTGCAACTAAAATTTGCATATATTTTGCAATTTATATATATATATACATATATATATATATATAAATTTTCTATAAGTAGTTACTCCACTCATATAGTAAGATTAAGGAGAACAGGTGTGGGAAAATTCTAAGTTTTGCAGGTGGTTTACCAGAGGGTGAACTCAAATATTTTCATATATAAAAGCAAATAAATTTTGCCACTGTTTCCTGCCATTAATTAGGGGTTGGTGTTGCAATCAGTGTCTGTAAAGTTCAGGCCTTTCTGCTTAGACATTCTGTCTGCATTTCCAATGACTGATAAGTGATGGTGAATATTCAAGCCTATTGGTGAATAAATAGAGCTACAGTGTCTATGTCACTGATATTAATAGCTCATATAAAACCTACTTTTTAAATTAATATTTGCTCTCTTCTCACTAAAACTGAAGCAATGGAGAGCCTGAAGCAACTTAAAGAAATAAAAGCATAAAAGAAAATATAGTCAGCACAGTTTAAATGTTCACTTCTAAGTATCATTACCTATTCTACATTTTCTGAGGAGTTATCATTACCAAGCCCATATGTGATTTGTCAGTGACAAAAACTTGAATCATACTCACCTTAGCCAAGAGTTCTGTCATATTGACGCTGTTGTTTAATATTCCACCTTGAACTGACCTTACCCCATCTCTCATTCATCCTCTGTCTTATTTCACCTTTCTAAAATATTATTCTCTTCTTTCTCCTCATTTTTATGCTACATGTGTCTCCAAGCTTGTGTTTGTATTGCTTGTCTTTATATATTCATTTTTGCAAGCCTCTTTCCACTTATTCAATTAGTATCTACTAAATATACTGGTTGTCAAGCTCTATGCCAGGTTCAAGGACAGGGGTTCTCACCCTGAACAATATTGACCTTTTGGGTTGGAAAATTCTTTGCTCTGGGGGGCTTTCCTGACCATTGTAGGATATTTAACAGCATCCTTGTCCGCTACCCACTAAATGCCAGTAGTACCTACTAGCTATGATAACCTAAAAGTTCTCCAGACATCATTTAATATTCCCTTGTTCACAAAGTTACCCATCACTGAGAACCACTGTTCTAGTGATACTGTGATAAGCCAAACAAATATTGTCAAATACATTGTTCAAATCCTATCTTCTCTCTATAATCTCTACTGATCAATTTCAGGAAAGTAATATCTTCCTCCATTTCTCTCTCACTCCACTTTATATGTATCACTCATATTGCATTATAACATTCTAAGATGATAGGACATTTCTTTAAATATTATACCAAGTCCCATTTAATATGTAAGGGAAAATTTTTCACTCATCTGCTTCTTTATTATTTAGACTACCATTGACATTGGAATCAGGGAAAAAATCTTGGGTACCCTTTCAGCACAAAACCATACCACCCTACATTCAAAGTAAGTGTCAAATTTAAAGAAAAGTGATTATTAGCCATAATGCATTTTTCAATTCGGGAAATAAAGTAAAAAGCGGGGGGCAGTAAAGTTATTCCCCATTACTAAGCTTTCTGTGCCTTTGTGACCACTAATAAATGAGAAAGAAAGCTAAATTTCTTGAATGGAAATTTTTCTACATAGAAAATGTAAGAACTTTCATCTAGACATCTTTTCATCTATAGCTGAGTGGAAAAAGAATGAGTGTTTCTACTTCAATTTTGAATAGGTACTTTCACCATCTAGAAGACTGAAGATGAGATATAAAAACAACTGAGGAACTCTAAGAGTCATACATAAGATATTTATTTTTGTTCAGTTTAGTTCAACTGCCATATCTCGGTGAAAGACACCATTTTAATTTATTTAAAAAAATTCTACATCTGCATCATACCTCCTCTAATTTCATGGAGAAAATATGTACTTTGGCATTTTTTTTTTTACTATGAGATTTTTTTTTTCAGTAATGGTAGGAGTTCATTAAAGGTTGGTCCATGTGTGATAAAAATGGGCAATGATCACACTGAAAATATAAGAAAAATATATTAAAATGTACTAATGTTGATGTTGTAATTTGTGTCACTATATTCCTTAAGTGGCTTATAATTTCTAAGTCTACAGGTGATATGAATTTTAAATTTGTTGAATAAATTATTAGTAGGAACACCTAATGTGGCTGTTACAGGGAAAAAGTAATATTAAAAATGTTTAGCATAGTGATTTATTAATATTAGCTGCTGTTGAAATTTGAAGAAGGAAAAATTTATTACATATTGAAAGCTGCATGAATGAATCTGTATTCAATTTATTTTTGTCCTTGTGAAGAGCTGGAAAAAAATCCACAGATCTTTTTTAAAACAAATTTTAAATGAAGGGAGAGGACGTTATTCTCTTATTTAAATTAACCGCATTACTTGGTTACTTCATTGATGTATGGCCCTGGTACAGATTTTATCCACCTGCTACTTTTAAATGATAATTTATAAGTTTATTATGTGTGAATTTTCAGATAATTTATAAGTTTGTGAAGTGTGAATTTTTAGATTGTCATCATGGCCTCATTAGTACTCATAATGAGAGAATAAATTAACTTAGTCTCTTAGGCTACTACTATGATTTCCGTTGGGCCATAAAAGAAAAAAAATAACAGCCAGATAATGAAAAGAATTATTGTCCTGAGAGTTAGTGAATATAAGTCTGATTTCATTGCCACTATCATAAACTAGGTAGACTTTAGCTCACTTTTAGGCTCTGTAAGAGAAAAGGGAGTAAAAGCAACAATCTCTACATCTCCAAGACTTATTATTCTATTTTTGTGCAATTAATACTTACACATTCATTCAGGAGAAGAGAAGCTTATAACATACCTGATGTGAAGGGACAGTCCTTGGGGGAAAAAAATTTCACCAAAAATAGAGCTTGTATACAAGGTATACTCAACGTTCATGTGATCTGTAGTACTCAAAGACAAAATGTAGTGACAAGAAATACTCAAAGAATGGCCAAAAAGGCATATAATTTGCTTATAGTACCAAGAACAGAATACTAGGAAAGAATTTCTACTACTGAGAAGTAGACTGTGGGTATAGGTTAAAAAGATAGAAAAAATAAGCACCGGCCATTTACCCCTTAGCAGTTGATTAGTAAATAACATTTTTCTCAGTAAGGTATAGCATCCATCAATAATAGAGTCTAAATAATTGTTACTGAATGAAAGTGATGGACTAATGTAATAACCTTATTTTTTTAATATTTTGTTTCAAAATCATTTTAGATTTACAGAAGAGTTACACAGATTATAGAGTTCAACTTTCCCTTATGTTATAACTCATATAAATATTGTAATGTTTATTAAAATAAAAAATTAATATTGATGTAATACTATTAACTAAAATACACTTTATTCACATTTCACCACTTTTCCCGCTATTATCTTTTTTTTTTTTCCTGCTCTGGATTCAAAATATCACATTATATTTTGTGTAATAATGTTTGAACACCAATGTTATTACTTTTAACCAGAAATAATTGATGTCTTCTCAAGTTCATTAGTACAAATACTTCATAAATATTTGCATGTTACCTGGTAAAACTGTGACCCAAAAGAGCAGAATAAAGAAAAAGAGATGAATCTTCATGGTAGACAGTTTCTTAGGAAAAAATCGTCAACAGATCTTCTCTTTTAAGTCAGTTGTTTTGAAATAAGGAAACAGAGATCCCTTTTATTTATAGAGTCTCCTGGGAAGTACTTTTAACTACTGAGGCTTACCAAGAGCAGGGACATTTGTATGCTTGGTTGAATAGCGCCACGCTCAAACAATGCAGTCACAAAAATTATTATTAAATTTTTTTTGTAGAAGTTAAACCTGCTTGTGTTACCTTAAATAGACTTTCATAAAGACACACTCTTTAAGGGATATTTATTTATAAGGACTATGTGTTTGGATTACTAAAATATCAAGGTGAAAATGTTACAGTAATCTGATCCTCTGCTATATGTTACACATAGTACTAGTCTAATGCCCTAGTATTAAATTGTTGAATTCCTGAATCATAGGATTTTACATCTAGATGTCTTCATTGAGATCACTTTTGTTTTACAGATGAAGCAATGAGAACCAAGGAGGTTAGGTGATTTTATTTCAATTAATATAATATGCAATCATTTAAATGATCAGGAAATTCTACATTAACTAATAAGTGTAGGATATATTCTACACAGTAGGTCTTTAAGTATATTCATACATTTTTATAATAAAGCATTTGATTTCAAACTTTGATGTTCAATATTTTAATTATATTTATGGAGCCAAAAGTTCCATATCTGATCCAATTTACATGCTTACAAATCAATTATTTCAGATAAATTAGGAAGGGCTAGAAGTTTTGCCTGCTACTGAAAAACTGATGCCATAAAGAGAAGCAATTATTCAATTCTCTCCTATCACAAAGTTAAGAGAATTTCTAGGACAGTGGTTCTTAAACTTTAGCTACATAAGAATCCCCAAGAGGGCTTGTTAAAGCCAGATTGCAGGGCCTGACCCCTAGCATTTCTGATTTAGTAGGTCTGGAATGGGGCCTAACAATTTGCTTCCTAACAAGATCCTGGAATGCTAATGCTATTGAAAGGGGCCACATATTACTCTAGGAAACTTGACACATTCATTCTACAAAATCTAAGAAAAATGAGTCACAGAGTTATAGAATCTGTGGCAGAGATTAACAAAGAATCTGAAGCTGCTTAGTAGTCTAATCAAATACTTAATCAAATACTCTCATATTACAGGTAAGAAAAGTGAAATCAAGAGAGATCAATTTACTTGCCTATCAATAGTTATCCTTAACAACAGAAGCTTCATATTATAAAGTATAAATGGAAACTTTGGAATCAAATCAAATGTGAGGAAATTGATTTAGCAATGTTTTCTTTCTGGGAAAGGAAAACAATTGAGAATTCAGCATCAGCTGATAAGAGGAAGACCACTTCAATATAAGCACTAAGTAACATTTATTCAACAAATATTACTGAGCACTAAAATTCAGAATTCAGTTATTGATTTTAATTCATTCCATTTTAATTATTGATTTTGTTCATTCTGTAGTCAAAGAACATACAGAATACTATGAAAGGATTCCTACTAATGAGAAGTAATCTATTGGCTTAGGTAAAAAGGCAGAAAAAGGTAACTATATCTCTAACACTGAGTCATTTACTCTTTGTCAGACGAGTCAGTTATGCTAAAAAAAATGGAAAAAATATTCCATGTAAATATTAACCAAAAGAGAACTGGAGTGACTATATTAACATAAGAGAAAATAGATTTTAAGAAAAAAAATTGTTACTAAAGACAAAGAAGGACATTGTATATTGATAAAATGGTCAATCCATCAAGAAGATACAGCAAGTATAAACATTTATATACCTATCATATGCCTTCCAAATGCCTGAAGCAAAATATAACAGAATTGAATGAAGAAATAGATAGGTAATGGAAAATAATAGTTGGAGATAGTAATACAGTAATTCCTCACTTTTGATAATGGATACAGCAACTAGATAAGTCAGTTAAAAAAAAAAAGAAAAATTAAACATCATTATAAACTAACTAGACCTACAGATACCTGTAGAACATTTCACCTATCAAAGCAAATACACATTCTTCTCAAGTTAATATGGAACATTATCTAGGGTAGCCATATATTAGGCTACAAAACAAGTATCAATATATTTAAAAATACATATATAAAATATGTTCTTAGACTACAGCGGAATAAATTAGAAATCAATAACTGAAGAAAAAATGGAAAATTCACAGATATGAAGAAATTAAGTAATAGACTCCAAAATAACCAGGTTTTCAAAAGTACATCAAAAGCTAAATTAGAATATTCTTAGGATAAATAACAGCAGAAATATGATATGCCAAAACATATAGGACACAGTGAATGTACAGGGAAATTCAAGAGGCCCTAAATAGCAAAAATAATCTCAAAAACAAATAAATAAATTGGAGGATTCACACTTTCTGTTTTAAACTTACAGCCACGCCACAGTAATCAAGACAGTATATTACTAGAGTAGGATAGACAGAAAAATCAATGGGACAGAACTGAAAGTGGAGAAACAAACCTGTACCTCTATGTAAATTGATTTTTCATAGGGAGCCAGGATAATTCTATCAGAAAACAGTAGTCTTTTCAATAAATAGAGGATAACTGCACATCCATATGAGAAAGGATGAATTTTGATTCTTAAGCCATGTACAAAAATTAACTCAATGAAAGAAAACAAACACCTAAATATAAAAGCTAAAACTATAAAATTATTTTGAGAAACGTAGTTTTAAATCTTCATTATCTTGAATTTTCTTGTAATTTTTTAACATATGACACCAAAAGAACAAGCAACAACAACAAAAAAAATAGATAAATTTGACTTCCTTGAAATGAAAATCTTTGCATTTCAAAGAAAACTCTCAAAAAAATAAAAAGACAACATAGAGATTGGAGAAAATGCTTTAAATTATGTATTCAATAAGGGTCTACTATACAAAATACATGAAAAACTCTACAACTCAACAGTAAAAAGACAAATAATATAAATAAAAATTAGCAAAATATTTGATGAGACAGTTTTCCAAATAATATATGCAAATGGCCAAGAAGCACATGAAAATTTGTTTTACAGCACCTGTAGTCCCAGATACTTGGAAGGCTGAGGCAGGAGGATCAACGTGATTAGTCATTAGAAAAATGCAGATAAAAACTACAACAAGATATCACTTCACATCCACTAAGATGGCTATAATTAAGGGAGAACAAAACAGAAAATAGGAAAGCTCATTTATTGCTGGTAAGAATGTAAAATAGTGCAGCCACTGTGGAAAACAGTTTGGCAGTTACTCAAGAGTTAAACCCAAAGTTACCACATGACTCAGCAATTCCATTTCTAGATATATGACCAAAAGAATTGAAGCAGGTGTTTGCAAAATAAAATTTGCCGGGCTGTTTGCAGCAGCATTACTTATAATGGGAAAAAAGTGGAAACAACACAAATGCCCATCAACTGATGAATGGATAAACAAAATATGGCATATGCATATGATGAAATATTATTCAGCCACAAAAAAGAAAATACTTATACAAGTTACTGCATGGATAAATCTTAAAAGCATTGTGATAAGTGAGTTAAATCAGACACACAAAAGGCCACAAATTGCCTGAAATCATTCCTTTGAAATGTCCTGAAGAGTCAAACCCATGGTGACAGAAAGTAAATTATTTGTTTCCAGAAAATGATGGGGTAGGATTTGGTAGTGCCTGCTTAAACAAAATTTGTTTTTGGAGTGATAGAAAATGCCCTTGGAATTAGATAGTAGTGATGTTTGTACAGCATTGTGAATGTACTAACAAAACACTAAATTGTACACCTTATAATGATTATATGAATTACATCAGAATTTTAAAAGAAGAATACACATTATGAAAATAAAAACCCATTCTTTGAGGGAACAGAAACATAAAAGCCGTTATCTTTTTGCTTTTGCAGCACATGGCAATAATGAGACTTCCTCCAAGGGCTGCTGCTTCAAAAAAAATTACTATTTTGGAAACTAGTACCAAACTTGTCAGAGGAATCATTAAAAAGAAAATATTTATACCCCTATCCTTAGCAACTTTGTAATGCAGGCCTAATCCACAGAGAATGTAGAAATTGCTCCCCACATCAAATGTAAAGATTGCTGCTCCATCAAATGTTGAAGTTGTCATGTTCTACTGTATCAATCTCCAGCTACCTTTTATTTTGAACAATTAGCATGAGTTTTAATGTCAGTTACAAATAATTATAATTATCTATTTGTGAGAGGTTACTTTGAACCAGACGCTGTAGTAATTATGTATACTATCTCTTCTACAAAAACAACCCTTATAAGGAGTTATTATTATCTCTAAAAGAGATAATAATATCTCTCTTTTAGAGATAATAATAGCTTTTCCAGTATCATTATAGTAAAGGGGATGGAAATCCCTAGACTTTGAATAAATGATTTCTTTTTTTACATATTTCTGTTATCTCATATATCAGATGTGGGTTATTGTCCTAGATCAGTTATTTTCAAACTTTTAAAACTATGATGTTCTGGAAAGCAACTCGGCAGTACCCTTGGGCACTGTACAGCCACACAATGTAAAAATAACCTAATTAGGAATTCTCCAAGGGGCTATGTAGCTCTTTCAAATCTCAGAATCCTCACCATTTTTCTGTGAAAGCCTGACTTTATATATTCACAATGATGAGACTTCATGGATGGACACAGTATTATTAGGAAACAAATTGTGGCTTGGGGCTCCCTTATATTCTACTTGCTACCTCGGAAGTTCAGTGAGACCAAGAATATGTCTTCTTTTCTCAATATAATATTTAATCAAATCAAACATCCAAAAGCTTAAAATGCCAGAATTACCTTTTCCCTGTCAGAATAGCAGCTCTTTTTATTTCCTGCAAAAAGGTTTTGTGAGTGTGTGTGTGCGCATTTGTGTGCGTATGACATCTCCAAAGTAGAGTTTATATATATCCAAGTAGAACTTGAAAGATGAAGAGGTGAATTTAAAGAAACTGGGACATACTGTGGTAGGTGAACACGTGGAAGAAAACAAGAAGTCACAGAAGAAATGAAAACTT